CACCTTTGCCCCCCATGTGATTGGCCAGCTGTGTCGAGCGCTCCATCGTGTTCTTCCACGCGTAGGTGACAGGGAGCCCCAATCCAGACCGAAACGGAGGCAACGCCCCAGGAATGCTTCAGGATGATTCCCACTGAAGAAGGGCCCAGACCGAGCGCAGATCGCCCCCTCTTCCTCGGCTTGGTCGGGGTCTCGCTCCTCCTTGCGTGCTGGCTTCTGTCAGCGGGGCCAGCAATGAGCGAGCGGGTCACCAAGTCAGCGCGCCCCGTGTGTGGTCGGCTCTGGGCTGTGCCCCCCGACCGCGCGTGTATGCCCAGGTACTTGGCCGTCAAGGAGCACATTTGGCCACCGCCGCCGCTGGCAAAATGATGGGAACGTTACTGCGGGGGTCAGCCTTCCGTTGCAAAGTTGACCACCGCTCACCCTTACGTAAGGCTGTTGCGAATTTTCAGCACCGTGAATGGCGAAGACGCCTCAGGCCCTCTTGACAGAGCCCGATCGGACGCAAATTCCCATTCGATCCGATTTCCCGATACGATCCGACCGACCGATCCTGCCCGTCCCCTCAGACACCCACCGCTTCGATGTATTCGATGCGTGGGCCCCAGGACCTCTCGACCCCCTCCCCAGGGCCAGCGTTTCATCCCGAGCAGCTTCTTCCACGGTCCCCAGGTCCACAACCGGCCTCCAGGGGCCAGACATGGCGACAGACTGGCCGCCCCGAGTTCTGTCCGAGGCGCCAGGTGCCTGGGCCATCCCCCCCTCCATGCAGACGGCCGCGGCGGTGACGACGACGCCGACGCCAAGCGCCAAGGAGAAAGCCGAGCAGAAGAGGAAGGCCGCGGAGGCTGCGGCCGCTTGCGTGCCTCTCGCGGGCGCTTGTTGTTTTAGGCGCGTGCCTCCGTGGCTGGGAGGAGGAGGAGGAGGAGGAGGAGGAGGAGGAGGAGGAGGAGGAGGAGGAGGAGGGGACGATGGGCTCCCCCGGGCCGCTTTGCCCCCAGAGCGGGCCGGCAGCATGCCGACGGCAGTGCCCCCCAAGTCTAGGCCCCCCAGTGTAACGGAAGAGGGGGAGGGAAGGAGGGAGGGCAGGCCACCTTCGCGACGGGCGGCCGCGGCCATGCGGACGCCTCGCTGCGTTGAGGAGGCCTGCTCGGCAGCGGAGGGAAGTCATTGTCGTGGGGGAGCGAAAACGGTCGGAGCTGGGAGATTATCTTGCTTCTTCGTCAGTTCCAAAGACGGGATGCTTTCCAGGAGCTGCGCCACGCCGAGAGCGCTCTGGGGGTGCCCGAAAACTCGGACGACCAGGGGAGGGGACGGAGGATGCAGGAAGGGAGGGTTCGGATCAGGCAGGCCTTGGAGAAAGACAGGACGCTACAGGGCGTCCTGGGACGCTCTCGCACTGTTCCTGGGCGCTCTGGAACGGCCGCGGCAAGCGATACGTCCTCCAGGCTCGTCAGTCCTCGAAGATTTTCGACTTACCTCGGTCTGATTTGACCTTCATCCTCCTGGCGTCGTCTTATAGGACCAGGACGTTGGCCAGGTATGGCACGAGAAGGGTGCGGCCGCGCTTTGCGCGAGCCGCTCTCCCCATTCAGGAACCACATCAGGGGAGATGGATCGGGCGCAAACGGTGCTAAGCAAGCAACGCAAGACCGTGACAGGAGCCTGGACGTTCCGTGTTGAAAGAAAGTGTTGCCCGCTTGAGATTGCACGCAAGGCCATATCCAAAACATCTTCAAGGCCAGAAGCCATACACAAGTGGCCCGTAAAAAACAAGTTGGGACCACGGAGCAAAGAGCAGGAGGAAACAATTGAGAAACCGCGACGACAAGGACCGAGAAACGAGCCGCAAGGCAGGAAAGAGTGCAACCTGGGCCAGAAAAGCATGATGACTCCTTCTCCGTGTCGGATTCCATCAGCATTAATTTTCTGGGAGGATGCAGAGAAAGAAGGAAACAGGGAGGCACCTCAGGCGCCGCGTTGGCAAGGACGGAAATGGCAGCGCGCAAGGCCCGACAGAGCGCACCATGGGCGCGAAATACATGAGGACTTCTACTCTGGGCCAGATTGCATTGGGATTCCCTCTTTGGCGGGAGGTGGGAAGAGTCACCGCACCGCGCCAGCAAGGACCCGAGAATTAACCGCAGAGCCCGAGAACGTGCAGCCTGGGAAGGAAAAACACAATGATTGTCTATTGTTGCCAGGTTGCATCTGGGTATCAGGATCCCTCTGGGCGGGAGCAGCGAAGCAAGGCTCGGGTGTTGCTAGAACTGCCCCTGGCCCAATGCGCCCCCAGGGTTCCCGGAGTGGCCAAGGCGGCCTCCAGAGCACCCACGACGAGGCCCAGAGGGCCCCAGGGGCTCCAACATGGAGCGAAAAGCCAGGGGGGCACCTTGGGCCAGGGGCGCCTTTTCGCAACCCCCGAAGGGAAAGCAGGGACACGCCTGCGATGTCGTGTTCGGGCCCTCTCCCCAGCGGGCGGGCGGGAGCGGAGCTTCCGCTCCCCGCCGCGCGCGCGCGCCGGGGCCGCGGGATGGCGCGGGTGGCGCTCGGCGCGGCGCGTCCTCGAGGACGGCGCCGGCGCCCCGCTGGTTTCCCCTAGTCGGGGGGTGCTCCCAGCGTTTTGCTCCACTTTGGAGCCTCTGGGGCCCTCTGGGCCTCGTGAGGGGTGCTCTGGAGGCCGTGGGGGCCTTCTCGGAAATCCTAAGGCCCCATGGGCCAGGGGCACTTCTAGAAACACCCGACCCTGTTTCCCGAGGCGAGGATTTGTCCATCACCACCGCCTGGTGGATCGATCTTCTGGGGCCTCGACAGGCGGTGGGTATGGATCTATTTGGCCGCCCCATGGCCCGAACACATCCATATCCACCGCCTGCGGAGCTACCCGAAGAGCCATGTATTCCCCGCCCGTCATGTTTGCCTGCCGGCTCCCCAGCGTTGGTGGTGGTGGCCTTAGTGGGCGTGGGAAGCTACAGGCTATTTGTTGTTCTGGTTCCGTCGCAGTTTTTTCTCTGGCTCCGTCGCCATTTTGGCTCCGATTATGGTTCCGATTCCGGCGCAGTTTTGTGTTCCGTTTCTGTGAGCAAAATTCTTCCGCGTGTTCAGACTCAATAGCCAGATATCGGAAACGGTGCAAAACGGCTCTGCCGCTTCCAGGGCCCATTATGATGGTAGCGGAGTGGTAGTCAGGACGATGACGGTTTTGACGCAGAAACGCTTGCAAACTCCTCGTTGTGGACCGTGGTCTGGCGTCTGCGCTGTCTTCGTCTCGCCTCCTACTCCTCTTCCTCCTCCTCCTCCTTCTCCAAAGTGGCGCTGTAAAATATCAGATTTCCAGTGCAGTGTCAAGGCCAAGGCATGCAAGCCTTGCCCGAGAAACTGCCCGCGGGAGCGACTCCGTTGTCGCCGGTCTGGGGGCCTGTCAGCACCCACGGCAAACGCCGGTCTAGGGGTCCTCCTCCAAGAGGAGCGAAGGGGAGGAGATGGGAAGGCGGTGCGAAGAGAGGGGGTTTTGCCCGAGGCCGTGAGTAATACTTTTATGTGCCGTGTCGGAAGCCGATCCCCAGAGACGCTGGGCTGAGTATGCTGATATATGATCCAGTGTTGACGCACCCCGACGCTAATGGGAATGATACCCCCCGCTGGATGGGCACGCCTGTGAGCCTCGCGAAAGCCTCGCGAATGGGATCGTTCCCCCCCTGTGCATGGTTGTGGCCCTGTGGGCGTGGCGTGGTGGAGGGTGGACACTCCGGTGCTGTCGCCGAGAGCTTCCCGAGACCAGGGTCGCAGGGCCTCGCGAATGGGATCGTTCCCACCCCTCTGGCTCGTGGTACGTCGGGGCGTGGCGTGGTGGTGGTTGCGGCGGTGGCCCCCTCCCCTGTGGGTGTGGGGTGGTTCGTCGTCGTCGTCTTCCGTCGGCGTCCGGGCGTCCATGTCGGAGTCGGCGTCGTCTGTTAGTCACCCGTCGGCGTCGCGTCGAGAGACCTTTTGCCGCTCGTTGCATGCGTCGGCGTCGACCCCCGTCCATATGCGGGGGGCGGGCTGCGAACTCTCAACCCGGGATCGTATATTCGGGCCCCAGGGAGGCCACCATTGCTTTCTGGGATCCTTCCCGAGTGGTGTTTACGAATCCGGTGAAGAGGCGAGGCACATGAGCTTAGGGCCAAGCAGCGTGGGCACGGTGTCTCACGCGCAGCTGTCTCCAGCTGCCAGCCAGGGTGATCGCAATGCGTAACACCCTGAACTACGCCTGCGAGGGCGGGCGCGTGTGTGCCGACTTCTCCAGCATACGACTGTGGATATGCATGGACCGAAGACAAGCTCTCGGAGGTTCCGCGCGGACGCCGTCCTATTGCTCATGCTGGTGTTACGTTCCTCGAGGAGTGCCTGCCAGCTTCTCCGTCTCATGTCGATTGGTACGCACACGGCGACGAAGAAATGCCATCATAAACGTAAGTTTTCGGAGGTCTGTGCGGACGGCCGACAGTGTGCACGCGGGCGATAGTTGAAACTTCGGTTGACCAGGTTCGTGGAACCGCGCCAGTTTCGGCCAGACCTGGGCCTCGAGCGCTCGTGCTCCCCGCTCTCGCCCCCGCAAACAGCGCCGACACCGAAGCAACTGATCCCCGCGGGCATGGTCGTGCAGGTGTCTTCTATTCCTCCTGGGAGTGCCCGCCGACTCCTCCAGCCCACGTCCGTCGGCGAGCGGGGGCGGGGGGGAGGTGAGAAGGAGGCGGCCCTCTCAGACGGCGGCGGGGCTTCTCAGAGGCCCTCTGGCCTTCTGAGACGTTTTCTGTGGCTTTGGGGGAAGGCTCAACGACCTTCTCAGAAGGCTGAGGGACTTCCAAGCCTTTTTGAGGAGGCCCGCCCCTACTCGGTTCCTTCTGGGCTCGCCGTGGACATGTCCCGCGTCGGTGGAGGTGCACAAGCCCTGGCCTCACATCCTGGCAGCTGGCGTCGAGCCATATGCCTCCGCCCCCACCGGCCCGCCGCCCTGCCAGGACGCGGCGCGGTGGCCGCCGCGCTCGCTGCGGCCGCGGCGCCGACGGCCCTGGGCCTGCTCCCGCGGCGCGAGCGCCGTGGCGATCCGGCGCAGGGGCACGAGGACGCCGACCACCTCTTTCGCCGAGCGCGTTCCACTACTCGCAAAGTGCCTACTCGCAAGCGTCAGAAAGCCATGCGTCTGCCTTTGTGTCCCTGTGGCGGATCCAGGCCGTTTGCGAGTAGCTACTTTGCGAGTAGTGGAACGCTCTTGTCTACTCTTGGCTTCGCGCCTCAGGGGGCAAGTCAGAGGGGGCGGGCCTTCTGAGAAGCGGTCTTGGATTATGATGTTCCAGCCTGCTTTGGCCTTGACCGCCGGAAAGGAATTTCGAGCACCAACAAAGTACCGAAACTTGAGGGTTTCGCGGTACTCGTTCGACTCTGTTTCGATACTCTTCTGGGTGATAGAAATTATTTCTGGGATTTGGCCCTGAAGTACGATGGGAGCCACACAAGTCTTGGCCTTCTCCGAAGCCGCAGGGGGCTTCTCTGAAGGCCAGGAGGGGGCTCACTTGCCCACGGGTGCGCCACCGATCCTGGCGCCGTTGCGAGAGTCGTGACTGGCGGTTTTCGGCCCTCTCGGTGGCCTCCGAGCCCACGGGGCCGTCAAGAGCGGCTGGGGACGGGAGGCCGGTCGAGCTGGAGGTGGTCCAGATTTCTGGGGGCCATGCTGTGAAGAACAAGCTCGCCGTCGGACGCCTTTGCGTCGTCTCCTTCCTGCCATGTCTGATCGCACTGCCGAGCCAGGCACGTCCCTCGTGAGCCGTGCGATGGGCGAGCCTCCCATTCAGCTTTTTCACAGCAGATCGCGTTCCCTGTCATGCCATGATCTGTGGCAATTCGACCCACACTTGCGGTCATTTGCTGCATATGGTTTGGGCACGTCGCCAGATTACACTCCAAATCGTGCGCCTGACGTGTTCTTCTGAATCACACGCTGACGTTGCGGCAGTTTGGATGCGTCCTTCCCATAAGCTGTGGCGTCGGCTTCGCTGGC